TGCAGAGTGCTGTAGTTAATCTGGTAGCGCAGGGGTTTTGCAGCAGTTTTTTTTTCCCCAGAACTGTGCATCTCTTTAGATATTAAAAGGACCGAGTTTTGGAAAAATCTGGCCGTGGGCTGATTCCGGCCGAGGCGGCCGTGAGGGGCCGAGGGCTGAGGGGAGCGCGGGGCCGCGGCGGCCCGGGGTGTTTCCCGGTGGTCTCTGGTGGTCGTTTGGAGCTCGAACTTTACTTGAACTTGAGCTGGTTACAGAGCACCTTCGTTCGGCATCTCTTGTCGGGAAACTGGATACTTGCGTTACCACTGCTTTAACTAAAGCATTCAGAAACTTGCCTTATTCCGCAACTACCTTAATAGAAATTTAGATTGTAAAGGCGGATAGAAAATCATTGAACAATGGAGAATTATTGCTCTCGCGCTGCTCGCAGGTGAAGAGCCACAGGGGCTCGGATGAACTCGGGTCCCCGCCCAGGCTCCCCCCGGGCGGAGGGTGTCAGTCTCGGGGCAGGGAAGGGAGCAATCCCCGGGAAGGGAAACGCCATCATCTGAGCGGCTTGCCCTGCAGACGTCGCCTGCAGAGGTTCTTCATTGTTAGCATTGCCATTCGTTTCATGCAATTCCCACGGAAGGGAATTAAAACCCAAAGTCCCTCTAAGAGTTGGGCATGTAAACGGTGTGTTTTGACTGCGCAGTAAATTTGGCGTGAATGGGCTGATGAACGGCGGGCCTGTGAAGTTTCAGGTCTGTGTCCTGCAAACACGTGATGGTGTTGCTGTTGTTGTGAGCGCAGGGCTAAAGGAGCCGCCGTCATGTCCCAGGAGTGCGGCGATGAGTGGGAGCTGAGCAAGGAGAATGTGCAGCCCCTCAGGCAGGGGCGGGTGATGTCCAGCTTGCAGGAGGCGCTGGCTCAGCAGGACTCCTCCAGCCACACCGCTGTGCAGCTCAAAAAACAGTGGGTGATGTTATAACACCTCCTTTCCCCTTATATTCCTCCCTCCTCCTCCTCCTTATTTTTCTCTGTCTTACTCAACTGTACTGATCTCATAAGCGTTAAAAAAGGCATAAAAGATGTTTAGTAGCTGATGTCTGTGCTACTGTCACACTCCAGGTGTTCAGAACTACTCGCTGTAGGTGCTGTGTGGTACAGACTGCAACTTTCAGGTTTGCAGTGGAGCATTTAAACAGCAAACACCAGGGAGATTGGGTTGTACTTTTAACTATAATAGTTAAGTCGTAGTTTACAGCGTGGAAAATGTATTTCCAGTGATACACATGTACTTATTGGATGGATAATTTTATCTTTTAGAGAATTTGAATCAGAAATCCGATTTTACTCAGGAGATGACCCTCTGGATGTGTGGGACCGGTGAGTTTCCGTTTTTTTTTTTTTCAAAAAAAAAAAGTAGAAAGGTCAGATATCCTTGGAAAAGCAAGGGAAAAGCATTCTAATTTAGAAACTCATTCCAAGTTAAATTCTATAATAGTTTTTGAATAATGTGTTGTATTTCAATATTAATTTCAATTATTTTTTTTTCTAAATCCCCTTAGATTGTGCAGAAACTTATTCTGAACTGACTTCCTCTGCATATCTTCCATCTGTAGGTACATCAAGTGGACAGAGCAGACCTTCCCCCAGGGTGGGAAAGATGGAAATCTGGCAGCAGTTTTGGAGAGGGCAGTGAAAGCCCTC